CAATGACTTGTGTTAACATCTCACAGGCCACAAAAGCCGATTTCCTGTTTAGGCTCATCTAGTTGTACTGGAAAAATGTTCAGAAATTCAGAGTGTTTACTGAATGTTTTATAACATGTCTTTTTAATCTCTTTTTATTGATGGCATTATAAGGACAGTATGGACATGAAAAAGGTCTTTCTCCAGTATGGGTTCGAATATGATCTTCCAGAGTCTGTTTTGTTACTGCACTGTAGGAACAACGATCACACGCATATGGTTTCTCTTTTGTATGAGTGCACAAATGGTTCTTGAGATTAGTTGTGACAGTAGTGGCGTAGGGGCAGTATGGACACTGACGCAACTTGGCGACAGAAGGTGTGGTCTTTTCACCTCCTGTGGCGCCTCTCCCAACTGCCGTCTCATAGCCTGAGCTCAGCCTCACCTGTTGAGGACAGCTGCCTTACTCAAAACTCAGATATTTCAGAGGTGTGTTACCATTACCAATTAGTACAAGTCATGTTTATTTATCCCAGAAAATGGAAGAATGTGAAAGGGCAGAAAGTGAGTGCCAAGGCAAAACATACGTGTGTGTGTGTGTGTGTGTGTGTGTGTGTGTGTGTGTGTGTGTGTGTGTGTGTGTGTGTGTGTGTGCGCGCGTTTATGTGTATGTGTGCAAGTGAGCGTGAATGTGAATGCAAGTGTGAGTATGTGTGTGTCTAAGTATGAGTACATGTGTATTCATGTGTGCAAGTGTGTATGAATGTGGGGAAACATGTTCATATACAGGTGTGTGACAGCATACATGTTTGTTCCTGCACATATGTGCTGGATGTGTGTGTAAGCACATGGATGATTGGAAGTAGAATAAATAACATATAATATATCAAATGGCTCTTTATGTAATAAAACATCAGTTGAAGTACTTTCATGAAAGTTATTAATAATCAAATAAATAAAACTGTAATAAGTACAGTGTAACTTCAGTTCTACCAGAAGCATTAAGTAAACACACTTTACTTAAAGAGGCACCTTATTAAACACTAAAATTCATATAAGCCCGAGGTCAATGATGATATTTGTAATTAGTTGTTACAAATATGAAAATGATGGATAAAAAATACAAGAAAATGGTTGTGAGACAAAGGTGTGGATAATAGAATTTATACCATGACATGTAAATGGTAGCCATAAAAAAAAAGCAAAAATCTCATTACATTGTATTCACATCTGGGTGGTGCGTTAACATGTGACTTTTCAGAGCCACTTTCTGTATTGCCCGATAGGAACAATGGGCACAGGCATAGGGCTTCTCTCCAGTATGTGTGCGCATGTGGTTCCTCAAATTTGTTGGGTAAACTGTATCATATGGGCAGGCAGGGCACTTGTACATCTTCCTATGGATGACCACACCTGGCTTGACCCCTGTGTTCTTCTTATCTGTCTCTTCACGTCCTCTGCCCTGCACCACCTGTAGAGGATGCTTATTTCATTGTCTTATCATACAGGCTTATGAACTCTTCATGTTTATCTCTATTACCATTAGAAGGATCTTTACACGGGTTATGTAAGTAATGGTATTATGAGGATACCACCTACAGGTATTTGGTGTGTGTATGGTGTTTAAGCTTTTAACCCATTAAAATTTACATTCTCCAGATTGTTTGTCCCCCCAGCCACAAAGAAAGGTATAACTTTTCAGGGTTTCACAAGGGCAAACTGATATTCCAAGAGGTACATTGTGATATGTAATGATATTGTGTATGGAATGGAATTATGTGAGGAGGAAAAGATCTAGGGTTTGGCTGGATGATTTATGCCATCAGCACCACAATTACTACCTTCCACTCACTATGTCTCATTCACAAGAAGGTATTAGAAGTGGGAAAATACAACTGTATGATTGGTTCAGGCAGAAGAAAGCCTACAAGGGGAGTGAGGGCATGGGGCAATGATAAGTCTTATCCATAACAAAAAATTTGCAGGGAAAAAATCTTGCCAGCTTCTGATAGGTCTACCACCATTACAAATAGGACTGTGCATATTCATTAGCCATAATCATGGCAAATAGGATCATTTATGAAAGGTATCTGATGCTATAAACATTTGCTTCCAAGACGCATATGTAGTCTTTTATGTAACCATAATAAATATCATCCTCAACCCAAAACCAATGGGCATGGCATGTATGTACATGCCTTGGCCACTGTGAGTTTACTTTATTAGTTGTTTTTACACATAGATGGCTCAACTTCTAAGTCATCCAAAAATGAGCCAATTATGAGTACTACTTGTTGCACCTGTTTACCCTTTTCCTTGATTTTCATATATATTTTATGTTATCTTATATTGCTGTTACTAATGTCAATAATTATGTCTACAATAAAGGTTATATCATCAATATTGACAGAATTAGTGAAAAATAAATAAATAAATAAATAAATAAAAAACATTTAATGGAAGGTGAAATCAGGTAAGGTTACAAGGTCTACTAATTGACTCCTTTGTGGCTAAATACTTGCAGGGCTATATATGAGCTGAGGCATTTCACAAAAAAAAATTATAAAATGAGCTTTCCCAATAACATGGGGTTAAAATAAGCATCAGTTTTTACCTTCAAGTTGGTAAACCATGAAACTTTATAAGCTTTACACTTTTCAACATGATCTGGCATGTGTTCTTTTTATTCACAACCAACCAGGTCTCAAGCTGTCAGTAATGGAAAGAAAGAAAGAAGAAGAAGAAGAAAAAAAAAAGATTGTTTGCTTTTGATTTATATCACTTACAGTTGCATTCCTTAACACAGTTGTACACTGAGTTCAATGCATCTAGTATGCTCCAAATTAGGAGAGAAATGTACAAAAAATAAACAGCAAGAATTCCATTTTTCACTTTATTTGCAATGAAAAATATTGCATCTAATTAAAAACAGAAATTCATGATACAAATATAAATAAAATAATACATCACTCTTACTGAAAAAGGAAATAACATTATACTATTTCCAATGCTAGTAATTTGCAAAATAAATAACAGCCAGAACTTAACTCTGGATAACTATCAAAGATAAGATATCAATAGATACATTCACAAGAAAAAGACCCACTTAAAACCACTCTACAAAGAGAAGTTCCTGTTTTAGACGCGACTCAGACCTACGACACCATCCTCTCCCCAACTGCACCAATAAATAATTTCAAGAGGTGCATTCTCCTTAACACACAAGGTCGATACGTAAATGCTTTAAATAAGAGGATACTATTCCGATATATTTACATAACATGTAATTCTTTCACCAATACTGAATACTTCGAGAGAAATAAATGCAGATGTTTTACGAAGTGGGATTTTTCATCTAAACTAAAATCTAATTCTAGACCAAGTATCCCTGCAGTTAGTTGAGTTGGTTGTATCCCTTCACTTCATTGAGAATTACTGAAGATGACTGAGAAAGACTGAGAAAGAAAGAGAGGCTGAGAAAGAGAGAAAGAAAGAAAGAGAGAAAGAAAGAAGGAAAGAAAGAAATAAAAGTGGAGAGTGACAGACAGATGGACAGACAAAGGACAGAGTGAGACATAGAGAGAAAAGAGTAAGATGCAGACAAAGCAGAAAAACATAAAGAGGACAAACTGAGATGCAGAGAAGACAGAACGACAGAGAGGACAGAGAGAGACAGAGAAGACAGGGAGAGACACAGAAAAGAGAGGGAGAAAAAAATTATAAAAGAGAAAGGCCAGAGACAGAGAAAGGAATGTATGCAATTTCTCTATCTGTGTGCATGCTTATGCTGTTTGCATGTAGTGTGAGGTTTGCAATCCATCACTGGCTAATGACTAATGAAAGGAAAAGAATAAAAGAAAAAAGACAATAAATAATAATAATAATAAATCAACAATAATAATGATGATGGTATTGTCACAATACTCATAATAATGACAATGATGATAGTAATGATAACAATAATAATAATAATAATAATAATAATAATGAAAATGATAATAATAATAATAATAATAACAATATCAATAACAATAATAATAACACTTTTAAAAGCTGAAAATGTAAGGTCAAAATTAATTATGCTAATAATAAATGAAATAACAAACAATAGCAACAACAGCAATATTAACATTATTATTATTGATAACAATAGTAATTAAAAAAAAGATAATAAAAAGATTAAAAGATAACATAAAGAAAATAAAAACGGAAACAATAATAATGATAATGATAATAATTTAAATAATTATGATGATGATGATGATAATGATGATGATGATAATGATAATAATAATAATCATAATGATAATAATAATAATCATAATGATAATAATAATAATAATAATGATAATAACATCAACAATAACAGTAGTGTTAGCAATAATGAAAAAGGTAAAAATTGAGATTTTCTTATTTTCCATTTCAAATGTGAATCCACACTTTTAAAAATGTTTAACTTAATATGTATAAGGATACAACAAATACACAAATAAATATAGATAAACACATATATAAAACAAAAAACTGAATTGGAAAAAAAAATTATCTATATGCTTTGAAAAACTTCTATTTTTCACACTTCATGTAATGTAGAATGAAAATTTACAGCTTTAACTGAATAATCATATAAGTTTTAAAAACTTTAATGCTTTGATAAGTTAAATTGCTTAAATAGGCAATGCCTTATGAAATATCAAAGAATCAATCAAAATGACCAGCAGCATTCAGTGTATCTCGACTGTCTTCCCAAAGAACAATTACAATAAATACTGTAGAGAATGCTGACAAACACAACAAATTAACTAAAAAAAAAAATTGTTCCATAATGTCCAGTATATATGGAAAATACTGTCTGACTTCATTATTTTAAATCCTTACATAAAAAGTATTTTTTTTCTTGCTCTCTCTTTATGTTGACTGTGTTGGCTTCTATGTGGCTCCATATACATCTAGCACCATTGTGGATGATGAGTTACCATGTGGTTCATGATGGCACTCTTATCTATACACTTGAATGGGCACATGGGACACTCAAAGGAACTTTCTCTTGTATGACCACGAATGTGTCTCTTCAGGTTGTCCTTTGTTATGGCTGAGTAAGGACAGTATGGGCACGAAAATGGCTTTTCGCCTGTGTGTGTGCGCATGTGGTTTCGTAAGTTTGTGGCAACATTTGTACTGTATGGACAGTGGAGGCACATACGCTTCTTAGTGACAGTACTGTGGTCATTCTCAGCTCCAGGTGCACCTCCTCCGCCACTCATCCTACGGGATGTGTCCAGCCCTACCTGTAGGGGACACCCATCTTACTCACAAACAGAAATCTTTATAATAAATGTGTAAATTATAAAAGCAAACACACACACACATGCACACACTACCACAAACACATTACACAATCTATACTTAATATACTTTTCACTATGGAATACAACTGGAAACATGCTTCCCGTAGGTAATCTATGCAAAAGTTTCATGTTTAACATATATTTAACATTTATCACTTATATCTAACTTAATAAAGTTTAAAGTCCTAATAGCAGGACCAATAAATTTCCTATAACTTAACAGTGAATTATGGCCACCCTATGTCCATCATCGTCAAATAAATAAACATTTTCAAACCCATATGCCAACAAACTGTTACTTTTAGTCTCTTATGCTGAATCACTAATGGCTGCTTTTATTACACTTTCTCTACAATTCTCTTAAGAATAAATCTATAAATCTTAAAATGTCACTTCTCAAATAAAACACACAAAAATCCTTTGTAACTTTAACAATACAATCAAACAAAGTTGACTAGTAACGGCTGCTTATGAAAATGTAACTTTCAATAATGTACATCTGCTAAGTTTGTAGGCAACTGAATTTACTGAGTTCTATAATGTTTTACTCTTTGGTTTTGGACTAAAAACATTTATGGATAATATTTTCTATTCTGCTTAATTTTGAATAATAAAGCACATATTCCCTAATACATTCAAACACTGAATTATAACATATCAGTAAAAAGGTTTAAAACAGAAACAAGATATGATGCACCAAGTATTTTTTTTTTTTTTTTTTTTTTTTTTTCAAGCAATGAAATCCAGAGCTCAATAAATCATGCACACACGTGGCCACAGCCTGTTATGGTTTCAATAAGGACATGCACCAGAGGAGAGGTAGAGAGAAATTGAGAGGATAAAAAAATAACAAAGAAAACTTGATAGGAATTTGAAAGACATGAAGAGGGAAATGGTAAATTGACAAAAGGGAGATAAAAAGACAAAGGAGGAGAGACAAACAGGCAAAGGTGGAGAGAGAGAGAGAGAGAGAGAGAGAGAGAGAGAGAGAGAGAGAGAGAGAGAGAGAGAGAGAGAGAGAGAGAGAGGAGAGAGAGAGAGGAGAGAGAGAGAGAGAGAGGAGAGAGAGAGGAGAGACATAGAGAGGAGAGAGAGAGAGAGAGAGAGAGAGAGGAGAGAGAGAGAGAGAGGAGAGAGAGAGAGAGGAGAGACATAGAGAGGAGAGACATAGAGAGAGAGAGAGAGAGAGAGAGAGAGAGAGGAGAGAGAGAGAGAGAGAGAGAGAGAGAGGAGAGAGAGAGGAGAGAGAGAGAGAGAGGAGAGAGAGAGAGAGAGAGAGAGAGAGAGAGGAGAGAGAGAGAGAGAGGAGAGAGAGAGAGAGAGAGGAGAGAGAGAGAGAGAGAGGAGAGAGAGAGAGGAGAGAAAGAGAGAGGAGAGAAAGAGAGAGGAGAAGGAAGAGAGAGGAGAAGGAAGAGAGAGGAGAAGGAAGAGAGAGGAGAAGGAAGAGAGAGGAGAAGGAAGAGAGAGGAGAAGGAAGAGAGAGAAAGGAGAGAGGGAGAAAGGAGAGAGGGAGAAAGGAGAGAGGGAGAAAGGAGAGAGGGAGAGAAAGAAGAGAAAAAGCAAGAGAAAGAAGAGAAAAAGCAAGAGAGAGGAGAGAAAGAGCAAGAGAGAGAAGAGAAAAAGCAAGAGAGAGGAGAGAAAGAGCAAGAGAGAGGAGAGAAAGAGTAAGGGAAAGGAGAGAGAGAAGAGAGAGAGAGAGAAAGGAGAGAGAGAAGAGAGAGAGAGAAAGGAGAGAGGTGGGAGAGGAGAGGAGAGGAGAGGAGAGGAGAGGAGAGGAGAGGAGAGAGAGAGAAGAGAAAAAGCAAGAGAGCGGAGAGAAAGAGCAAGAGAGAGGAGAGAAAGAGCAAAAGAGAGGAGAGAAAGAGCAAGAAAGAGGAGAGAGAGAAAGAGCAAGACAGAGAGAGAGAGAGAAAGAGCAAGATAGAGAGAGAGAAAGAGCAAGATAGCGAAGAGAAAGAGCAAGAGAGAGGAGAGAGAAAGAGCAAGAGAGAGGAGAGAGAAAGAGCAAGAGAGAGGAGAGAAAGAGCAAGAGAGAGGAGAGAGAGAGCAAAAGGGAGAAGAGAGAGAACAAGAGAGAGAAGAGAGAGAACAAAAGAGAGAAGAGAGAGAAGAGAAGAGAAGAGAAGAGAAGAGAGCGAGATAGAGAGATGTAAGCTATAAAAATACAGAGACAGAAACAGAAAACAACATAAGTAAATAACTGCTATTTCCTGTCTGCTAACAATGCTATGCAGCTTTGTTTCTCACTTAATTTTGCTGTCCACTATAGGCTACTTAGATATACCCTTCATAGCCCTGATGGCAAACCAGAGCAGAATAATTAATTGACAAAATTCCTTGACTTTACTCTAGCATCAGCATCAAAAACAGCAGCATCTTTAACTTGAATTATTGTGTGAGCATGAAGGGACAAGAAAAGAATGCTCTGTCTATGGGGTCATGAGAGCTAAAGTGAGCAGCCTTCCTTGCGGAGTAGCCACAGTAGGGACACTGGTGCATCCTGTGGCTGGCAATGGAGACGCAACCCGCGCCTGCACCTCGTCTTCCGCCAGTCCTCAGGTCACCAGTGTGAAGACTCATCTGCCGAGGATGCCCAACTTACTATGGCTCAGCATTACACAATTATACACTCAAACAAAAATATATGGTGCTCATAGATACTACACAAATGTGAGAATGGGCAAATGCAAATACTGATCTTTGTGAAGAGTGTTCAAGCCATTAGCATCTGCAATATGTAGTTATGATCTATGTCAGCAATTTATTGTTATTCCAGAACATACATCTTAATTCCCCTCTAATTGGCACATACTATCTTGTTTTGACATGTGTTGGTGAACCCTCTTTGCAATGTATATCAACCTTTTCTTTGTTCATTCTAAAAGTCATTTCTTTTAGTCCTAAAGTATCCAGATTTACAGATATTTAATTCAAGTATGCATAATTCTTTAATACCATCTTCCCTAATAGATATACTTCTGCAGGAAATGAAACATGAAGTGGTATACATACTTACTTTATTAAAATTTCTATACACTTTACAAATAAATGTAAGACAGTGTAACTATTTTTGCTTTCAAATTTATGTTCAGCACATAAAATGCACTGTTGAAAAGCAACTTTCATAATCTTCACACGTTTGTACTAGTCACTCTGATCCTTAATTTTCTAGAATACCTGGGCATGTTCTGCCAAAAGATTATTTCCTCATTTAGTCACACTAACAGTTGTTGCATGATGTGCAAGTATGTGGCTTGTGAGTGTTCCTTTCTGATTTGAGCGGTATGAACAATATGAGCAAGCATATGGTCTCTCTCCAGTATGAGTTCGTACATGCCTTTTCAGAGTGGTTCTTGTGGTTGCACTGTATGGACAATGAGGACATGAGTAAGGCTTTTCCCCTGTGTGAGTACGCATATGATTCCTGTAGTTGGTGGTAACAGATGAACTGTAGGTGCAGTATGAACAGTGATATCTCCTGCTCAGGCTGACGCCATTTCTGGGGGCCCTGCTCACGGGTGTGCCGTGACTCTCACTCTCCAGGCCCACCTGCAGGGGATGCCCATTTCACTTATTATGGTCACATTGGATAAAGACAGGTCTGCACTCAACAAGAATTCTTTTAATAACCTTTCAATGCAAAAACATCCAAAGCCACTGGCCAAGGTCATGTATGCAAAGGTATGTTGTAATTATGAAATTTACATCAATAAAATATTATCCAAAATTCCAGATTTGAACACTAACCGTATAAAATTCTGGTTTCTATCTAAAGCATTTCTCCCCTGAACATTTTCATTGGATATATGTCTATGAAACTATCTCATGAAAGCCAAAAGCAATGTAGAAAAAAATCTACTATTCTTATACTCTATAATGACTTTTCTTCTCAAAGTAGCATTATAACATATAATATCTGGCAATTCTTTCCATTATTCCATGATAAAAAGAAGATCCAAGATGAGAAATGGAACAAAAATGATGAAAAAAGAAATTAAAATGAAAGAAGAGACTTGATCTTATACTGCTTAGCACAACATATTCCACCTACAAGTTCCCTCTGACTGTCAATGGGACGGAGTAGATTCAGTACCCTCTCTGTCAGATCTGACAAATTCATTCATTGTGTATCCCATCTCTGGAAAGAAAAATCTGGCAATTCACCTCAGATTCTGGAGTACTGTACTCTGATTCATTGTCTCTTTTTAATTCTAATCAGCTGACTTGTACGCAAGTTTACACATGTTTAAATTTTAAAGAATTTCATACAATATCTTTATTTTCATCATAATTTTCTGCCTTCAATACTACTTAATCATTGTTCTCTAAAGTGATTTGTTCAATTTAGACTACTGTAGAGCCTAGAATGAGTTGCATTTTTTTTTTTTCTTTCCTGAGATTGGACAGTCTTGTGCCCTCCATCAGAGGATGCCAACTGGAAGCTGACTGGACGAGCATGAGGGGAGCCACTCCATGTCAATTATTTGGTTATAGCTTGTGTGGAGCTTGGAATTTTTCCTAATTTTTGTAATATTTTAAAACTATGATGATGAATGTCATGTCCATTAGTTAAAACAATGATTTATAAAAGTTAGTGTCCAACATGAATTTGCCATATGATTGCAAAACTGCATTTAAGGTAGTAAGTGCACGAGAAACAGAAGTGGCTCATTAGTCACGTTGAAAAAAATCTAAAAACCAGAGCTTCAATTTGTGTGCCCAAAGGAAGTATATGTGATCCATAATATTACAAATAAATTTCAGAAGTAAAAAAGCAGGAGTGAATAAGTTTGTTGTAACAATGATATCCAGAATTTTGCATGGCATCAAGATATTTGTAATGGAAGCCATTCATAACATATAGCTCTACACACACACACACACACAAAAAAAAAAAAGTTGCCTAATGATTACTATCCTGTTACACTGAGGCAAACTAGCAGGAATGACAAGTTAGCAACTTGAGCAAGTGGTAGCCTGGAGATTGAAGAAACTCATAGCTACTGTCAGCCTTCACATAATTATCCTCCTGCATTCATTTAAAAGCATGTCCATCTTAACCCAATGACGCCGGGTGTACTAAAGGAAAATAAAACTCTACGCTCTGGCAAACAAAGGCAGCGCGCCGACTTTGAGCGCAGGAGTACGGGGCGTCAGCCCGAATCACTGGCTCGCCGCGCTTTGGCGCGCCGCCGGCTGGTTTGGCCGCACGCCACCTTTCGAGCGATTTGTTTACACGCGTATCGCCGTCACCCGGCGGCAAGGGGTTAACTAACTCCTGTCCTTTCCCTAATTTTTTCTCTTTTAACCCATTCGCCGCGGATGGCAAGAATAGATGCCATACCCACTTTGATACACGTTTATTTATTGTATTTACACATAGATGGCTCTACAAGTTCTTAATCACCAAAAAGCCAGTTATCAAGAACTACCTATTTCACCTGTTTAGCCTTTTCCTTCACTTTCGGAAGGGGTTTTTTGTATCATCTTATTGTCAAAAATATTCTAATAACAATTCAATCATCATAACATCAGTAACAATAATAACAGCATCGAAAGCAATGATATTAATTTTCCCGCCAATTCAATGAATGGGAAAATCAGGGTCGGTAACTAGGGCCTACTGATAGACTCCTTGCCGGCTGAGTACATGTGGAGCCATCTGTAGGTAGCAAAATTCACCAAAACCAACAGGGGACAGAACATAAATCCGTGGCGAATGGGTTAAGTTCCATAAAGTAGTAACATTTATGATCATAAAAAGTCTTATTTGTACTTTTCACTGAAATTTGTCATTTCATTTACTTTTTATCTATCATGAACACTTTAGAATAAACAAGATTTTTTTTTATACAAACAGTAAAGTGTGTCAGAGATGAAATGGTACAGCCATAATACCAAAAGAAGCATGAAAGCCTTGACTCTGCAAAACTGAAACATCAGTTTAATGTTTCTTTTACAATTGTGGATGTTTCATGAAGTACTAAGATGGAATTAAATATAACATGCTTTCAAAGTCAGCTCAACTTGTGCTTGGAAAAAAGAAAATAGTAATAAAAAACTGAAGAGTAAGAAGTTGCATGTAGAGATAATAGAATATTGCATTTTGGTAAATTTTTTCATTAATCCTTTAAACATGGATGGCACGATATCTTGTTGTGGCCGCAGTGGACGAAGTTGTGGAAGGCACCACTTAATCATGCCTTGTGCCATAAGTGGGAGCTCAATTTTCTCACTTGTTTGGAGTTACAATTGGATGATGGCATCTAAAGAGCAGGAAAGCTTTAACTTTTTTAAGCATTTGCTTATACGCTCCACCTAAAAGTCAGTAGGTGCCCTATATTGTGTTTGAAATACCTGAACAAACTGGCTGTAAATGGCTAATGCTCATCAACACCTCCATGTTACTGGCCAATTGACAGTTTTTAATACAGTATTCATTAGGTTAACCCCTTGGTGCCGGGTCACGCCGATAGGCGTGTAAACAAACCGCTCGAAAGCTGGCGTGCAGCCAAACGAGCCGGCGGCGAGCCAGTGATTCGGGTTGAAGTCCCGTACTCACGCGCTCAAAGTCGGCGCGAAGCCTTTGTTTGCTAGAGCGTAGAGTTTTTTTTCCTTTTGTACACCCGGCGCCATTGGGTTAAGAAGTATTTCTCTTACTAACAAATTAGATGGAATTTGTCATTATGTTATGAAGTTATTTCTTTTCCTGATAGTGGATGCATAGGAATTAAATCATATCCATTTGAATAAATAAAATAAACAAATATATATATCAAACAAAGAAAACACCTGATAAGAACATGAAATGTTTATTTTATAATTATCCAAACCAAAAGATTCAGAAATCCAGCCTTGACACATATTTTTTAAACAATACACCAAATATTTCTCTCTTCTCTCTCCTGAATCATAAATAATATCTTTCCTTTCTCAAGTCAAAAAATCTACTTGCTACTATTTGAGAACAAAGGATCCTTATTGAATGTGTGCTTTGTCAGAACATGACTTTTTAAAGAACCCCATTGAGTGCAGCGGTACGGACAATGAATACACGAGTATGGTTTTTCCCCCGTATGAACTAGGACGTGTCTCTTCAGGGTCTCTTTAGTACTGGCACGGTAAGGGCAGTGGGGACACGAGAAGGGTTTCTCCCCTGTATGAATGCGCATGTGATTATCTAGATTGAATTTCTTTGTGGTGGAGTATGCACAGTAGGGACACTGATGCACCTTGTTTGTGGAGCTGTGGGTAATGGTCGGTCCGGTGGCCACTCGCCTCCCAAGACCATGATCGTCGCTCTCCAGCCTCATCTGTAAGGGATGCCTGTCTTACTAATATTTACACTTGTAACACTCTCTAACACCCTAGTTCTTTTTAAAATCTTCAAGGTTAGCATTTGCCACAAAATACTATCCATAGTGAAGAAAGAAATGGAATGAAACTGGTTAAGTTTAAGGCATTAGAAATATTCACCCTTTCTCAAGTGTCAGAGTTTATTAATTAAAATTGAAAAAGCAATATATGCAGAAATGAATATTAATATATAAAATATTATCTAAAAAAATGTGGGAGAAAAATGTGGACAAAATTTCCATAATTTCTTTCTTTTATATTTTTATGAAAAAAGAAAGAAAGAAAGAAAGAAAGAAAGAAAACAGTGCAACTTTAATTTCTGATGTAAAGTTGCATTCCAACCAATTCACTTCATAAACTATGTTTGCCTGTCTTGGACAGTGCTCCAACTTTCATTCTAAAATTTGAGTCTTTAGTAGCTGCCATGAAAATATAATACTGCCATAACATAATAATGCCAACCATCATCTTTGGATAAAACAGATTCCTCAACATGCCATAACTTGTATTTTCCATCTTCGTAATTGATCTTTCAACTTCAAAACGTGAAATTCCGGCATTGTTGGGGGGAGGGGGAGGGGCAGTTGCTCCAATCCTGTTTATCCCCCCCCCCCCATAGGACCACATTTTAAAACCACCTCCTCCCCCCACCCCCCAAGAAAAAGCTGAAATGACACCCCCAATTTCCAAAAAATCACTCAGCGTCCTACTTCTGTTATGGTTGCCAAAACAATAACTATCTTCAACAACATTTATTAAGATCACTGAAACTCAAGAATTGATACATGTTTTGCTTTCAACATACTAAAGCAAGGGAAGGTTTAGTACATGCTGATGATACTTGGCAGAATATAATAAAATACAAGTTGACTTGGTTTGGTACAGCAGTAAGCACAGTACAATTGTGACATCCTTAATCCTATAAATGTGTTACACATATTTAAAAAAAGTGCTACCTAAAAATATTCTCAGTGATACTCAGCGCTCTTTAAGTTTATGATTTCTTTAGATGGTTTTGAGCAATACATCTACTTTAATCCATATCACTGATATGACTCATTAATGGTGTTTCTCAAAATCAAGACTTCCAAAAAAGTTACAAGACAACTTTTACTTATTTTTTAAAAAGAAAGCATTCTTACCACAGACTATAGATCTTGTTATAAAACACCTTCATTTAACACTGTCTTTAGCTATCACAATAAAAGATGGGTGGCCGTACTTCATACAAGGGATGTGCTTTGAACAATCTATGTACACTAAAGCCAAAAAGGACTTTTAACATCATCAAGAGCATTCCAGTAAATCAGAATAAAAATTATAGAAATATGCCACCACAAAATAAAAAATTAAATATTTTTTTACTTAATTATGTATGAACTTAATTTCATACTATTCATACCATCAGGAGAAAAGATTGTGTTTGGAAGATTTAGCAATATATATATCAAAAAAGCTCTCCAATTATTGTTATAGACAGGAAAAAAGAAAGAAAACTTTACATCTACATATATATATATACTCCATAGATATACAAAAAAAAAAAAAAACTATAAATTAATTTTCACCGCCAAAAAATAAAATAAAATTTGTCTTTCATCTTGCATACTTATAAGTCACATTATAGAATCTGAATATATAAATGCATAAATAGGTTACTACAATAAACCAGCTTACTTGAAGTGGTAAACTTTTGCTATCAAAAGAGTAAGTGCAGGACAACAAATCTATATCAACAACAAACATGAACAAAATTCAACAACTAAAAAACTGAATGTGCATCACCTTCAGTATTATTATTATCATTATTGTATTTGCATTATTTATTATAATTATTACACAAAAAAATGAAAAAGAAAAATGCCTATCATAAAGTAGACTGAACACATGTGAAGATTTACTATCATAGTTGCAAATACGTGCAAACTGAGCAGTTAATATGATGTGGGAGACAGCAGAAAGGAGACAAAAGGAATGTAAAAAGAAAGAAGATATGGAACATAGGTTAATAGCTAGAAAAAAATAATTAAAATGTTTGCAGAAATCCCTCTAACTGAAGCTGTTTACAGCAATGTGTGTCAAAGCAGCATATGCAATTGTCAATTGCAAAATATACTTTCAAAAAGTGGGATAAGACATACACAGAAAATAAGTCATATTCATACAAAAGTATTATCATGCATACTATGTACAAAGACTAGTTTCATCCTAAAACAAAAATAATAATAAATAAAACATGAGCAACAACTTACTAACCAATGAGAGTTAGAACTAAAAAGACCACAATAATATTTGTAACGTATCCTTCCGCAGGATA